AACAACAACAACAACAACAACAACAACAACAACAACAACAACAACAACAATAATAATAATAATAATAAATAAATTAACTTTAGTCTTTTTTTAAATTAAGACAACAAGTAGTACGTCAGTGCCCCCGTCACTGAGGGATTTGTGGACGGAGCAATTTTATCAATGACCAGGTGCAATAGCAGAGCCAGGGGGTGGCCAGTGGTGGCCTTGGCCACCATAGATTAATCTTCAGCCACCCCGAGGGCCACCAAAATCATTTGCCAAGTTTTGATAGTCCCCTTTCTTCCAACTAGATGCAGCAACACACCAAAATGGGAGTTGCCTTTTTTTTCTCCAAGTTATTCAACTCACAAGGTTTACATGTATAGGTATATGATGACAGCCATTTTGGATTTTGACCTAGCAACCCGATTTTTGAAAGGAAGCATTCTTATGCTTAGATGTAGCAACACACCAAAATGGACGTTGGTAACATATTTTTCAAGTTATCACACTCACAATGTGCATGGACGGACAGAGGGTATTTCCATACCCCCTCTTAGCCCCACAATGGGCGACAAAAAAACGATGGAATCATTAGCGTATATTTGAATTTTTACAGGCTCTTATGGATGTTACCAATAAAATACAGTCCTCTTCAATGATCAGGTTTCAACTTCCCCCTGCAACAGCTGATAAATCTGTTTTGAAGTTTGGAGCCTAACTTCCAATCAGATTGTGCTTTGGGCTGTTTGCTTGCCGAGCCAACTGAGTTGATGTGAGTTTCCTGGGAAATTATTGAATATTTCTTTCAAGGAGTAAAAGGTTTTGTCCATCAAACTTAGTTTCCAATGATGGAATTAAGAAAGCCTAAAGATTTAACACTGCAGATGAAATAAGTTGCACCTCTCTGCTCGTTTACCTGACACACATCTCTACAGGAGCAATGACTGAGACAACATGCTGCTTTTCTTCACACATTCATCACCAAACTGAAGATCCAGCATCACTTCTTTGTCCAAAGCAGGTCAGTGACTCATCACTGAATACCTCCTTCATCAATCATCCACAGCCCATGACTACTTGTCTTCAGCCCACTTGTTTTCTTCTGTTTAGCTCTCGGTGACGTTGAACTTTTCTGACTGCAGCTCTAATTATTTCCTGCCAACAAAAGTGAAGGCGGAGCACGGATGTTGTTGCCTGAGGTCGTTTGTTTGAAACACTGAACAAATTTTAATGAGACTTTAAGAAATTAATCCCCGAGTTGATTTCTACAACTGTTTGACTTTCGGAGTCAGTCCAATTGGGATGGTCGATGCTTGCAGGCTTAATTTATTTCAGATGATTTCTTTATTTTTAACAATTTGTTCTCAAACAGTGACTCCTGTTCCTGTTCTTTTGTTTTTCTCTTGTTTTGTACAGTTGTCTGTGTGCATTTTGTACTTTCAAAATGTTTTCCTTTTCAGTTTTCCTTTCTAATCTTTAAATGCCTTGTGATGATGCCACCCACCTGAAGTGGGTCATGCACAGCTTGATGCCTCTGCCTCAAGTGTAAAACAATTATGAGTAGTGGCATTTACCGCAACTGCCTGAGCAATAAATTATATGTTATTCACCTTCTTCCTGGGGGCTCTACTGTCTAAATGATTATGGGTACAACTTCCTGTCAGACAGGAAGTAGCAGTGAGTATTGGTTAACCATGATAGCAGAGCACAGACCAAGGTTTATTTGAAAGTAATTTTCATTCAGTTTAGCAGATAAACCACTGTTTTTGTTTTGTTTACATTTATTTAACAACCATAAAGTTTACTAAAATAGCCGTGCTGAGTTCAGGTACCTGCTGTGTTCACAGCTTCATGAACAATCAGACCAAATTAAATCAGTGGCTGCAACAACAGAGTTTGAACACGGACCAAAACAAAAAGAGTGTTCCAGTGAAAAGAGCTATAGTTTCATCTTCTACCTACAGATGAGGAATTAAGAAGAATGTGGCTGAAAAATATGAACTTGAAGAGACCACCCAAAACTCTGAATGTGAGTTCATTTCACTTTGTTGACAAACGGCCGATGGAGGAAAACCTGCATCCTACTTTGTGTCTGAACTACAATAAACCACCGGAGAAGAGACGCTGAATCCTCAGAATGATTGAAAACAGTGACGAGAACATCAGGTCTGATTTCAAGTGTATGGAGGACACAGCTTTATAATATTTGTTCATCTTCAGTTTTATGATTTTCTCTGTAATGAACCCAAGCTCAGTGATGGAGGACTTTAATGCTTTGTCTGGACTCTGTGTCTGATTTAAGGTCAATAAGATTGTGTCCCACCTCTTTTTACAAAACACCACTGACCTTGTTACTGTTGTCACAACCTGGCTCTGGGGTTGTGACAAAAAAGAGAGAAAAGGACACCAGGCCAAATGTCCCCCCCAGGCAACACAGCACGTTTTTCTTTTATACTGGGCTGACCCAGCAACTCAGGTGTTTTCAATGATTACCTGCTGCACTGCTCAATGGAGCCGTCCCTGCAGCAGCTCAGTCAGTCATCTGACAAGGTCGTCCCACTGTGTAGATATGATACACCTCAGAGGTTTTCAAGTTGTTTGCTTCACAGTCAGAAGAACCGAGTCAATGAAGAAGCTAAATATGCTAGATGTAATCTGCAGCCACTTCTTCAGCTCGTCCTCCATCCCTCGTCCTCAGCAGCCAGTGGTATGATTACATCGTCCTGTTTGAGCTCTGACAGGTGGTGTTCCTACATGTTTAATTAAATCCACGACGCTCAGAGAAACTACATTAGCTCGTACTGTTCACACACAAACAAACGTTGGTCCTGGTTCATGCTGGAAGTCACACCCATAATTCACGCAAGACAGCATGGAGGCTAGGAATAAGGTGGATACCCTGAACTTTTTTGTCTTCACACAACACTAGAGCTGCACATTATATTTATAATACGGTAATTGCAATATCAGAACAAAATAAAATTTTATCTTTCAAGTTCCATGCATTTATGTTCAGCTGCTAATGATTTATTTGGACAACCAGATGGTATCTGACTGGTGTCGATGCCTAAGTCTGGTTTGGATTAGAACAATGAAAAACAGAGGAATGAATGACTTTATCACAATATTTTATCCATCCATCATCTTTACCCGCTTCTTCCTTTTCGAGTCACGGGGGTCAATGGTGTCCATGTCCAGCAGTCACTATGTGAGAGGTGGGGGACACCCTGGACATGTCTCTAGTCCATCACATGGACACATAGAGACAAACGAGACAAACAACCATTCTCTCTCTCACTCACACCTAGGGACAATTCAGAGTTACCAATCAGTCTAACATGCATGTTTTTGTTCTGTGGGAGGAAACTAGTGTACCTGGAGAAAACCCACGCATGCACGGAGAGAACATGCAAACTCCACCCAGAAAGGCCCCCAACCAGGATTTGGACTGGGCAGCAGCTCTACCAACTGCACCACCGTGCTGCCAACCCAAAACCTAAGACAGCAGAAATGTAAACATCTGGTCTATTCAAACAGGTATCAAATTCCTAAAATAGTTCATGTGTGCCTAAAAACACAAGCAGCATCTGCTTCACAACATCTGCCCTGGGAGTCTGTGGTTTGTGCGTATTTATGCACTGACTGCAGAGATGGGAGAAAATTAATAAAATATAGGGTTTTGTCCTCCTTGTTGGAGTGAAAAGGGATATTGGAAATACCCTCCATCTGTCTGTTCCATCCATGCATGTTGTGAGCAGGATAACTTGAAAAATAAGTGAATAACAACCTCCATTTTGGTGTGTGGCTTCAACTAGATGCAAGAAAGGCTTCTTTCAAAATTTGGGTTGCCAGATCAAAATCCAAGATGGCTGCCACCACAATTGTCTGTCAGTGTTTTTAGGATAATAACTTAAAAACAAATGATGTGAATAAAACAAATAGTTAAAAAACAAACAACTGGACTTCTATTCTGAAGCTGAAGATGTTTCACTTCTCAGGCTGTATCTACTTAAAAAATGACTTTAGTTGATAAAGCCTCCTGGACAGGAAGTGAAACGTCTTCAGTTTCAGAATAGAAGTCCAGATGTTTGTTTTGAAACTTCCTTTTTTTGGATTGACCACGACCTGATGACTTGAGAATCTTCACCAGCATAAGTGAAGTACCAGCTTCCATTTTGATGTGTATCTGCATGTAGAATCTGGAAGAAAGGTCCCTAATGACAACTGAGTTGCAACGTTCAAGTCCAGTCCAGAAAAACATCTAAAAAATTACAAACATTCACTACTCAGATCCGTCAGTGATGGGGGACATTGGAGCACCACGTGTTAATCACTGCGATGTGGGGCTGTACAATATTTACAAAATATGATCTGCAGTAATATTGTATTATACAATAATACAATTAGGTGCACAGTGGCTCAGTAGAACTGCTGCCTCTCAGTGAGCAGGTCGCCCCAGTTCAAATCCTGACCCAGGACCTTACTGGGTGGAGTTTGCATGTTCTATTCGTGCATGTGTGGGTTTTCTCCAG